AAAAAAAAAAAAAAAAAAGAAGATTGAGTTTGGAAGCTAACAACAACAGCAACAAAAGAGAGAGAGAGAAATAATTCCATAAAGATGAAGATGGTATTATAGTATTTTTCTTCCCTGCATTTACCTTCTTCTTTATGGTTGTTGTTATAATTTTCCTGCTTTAGGGTCATAATAGGTCTCTACTAAATATCTGTCTCATCTATTCCATCTGTAGGTTTAGCTTTCTCTCCCTTCCTTCCCCCATTCTCCAGCTCTCTTTAACCAGCAGTTTTCTTTATACATATTTAATGTTTATATTGTAGTCAAACAGAGCTACTCTATTGATTTGTTAATACGCCAAGTGGGCCAGATACTGTCCATAGGCATCTGGCACATTTTACGATACGCTATTCTATCTCCCCTGTTTTGCAGGGGCTGGAAACCTGGGAAAGATTTCTCTCTCTCTCTCTCTCTTTTTTTTTTTTTTACTTTTTTATTTTTAAAGAAAATAGAGACGGGGTCTCGCTATGTTGCCCAGGCTGGAGTGCAGTGGCTATTCACAGACGCGATCCCACCACTGATCAGCACCGGAGTTTTGATCTGCTCCGTTTCCGACCTGGGCTGGTTCACCCCTCCTTAGGCAACCTGGTGGCCCCCGGCTCCAGGAGGTCATTATATTGATGCCGAACTTAGTGTGGACGCCCGATCGGCATAGCGCACTACAGCCCAGAACTCCTGGGCTCAAGTGATCCTCCAGCCTCAGCCTCCCGAATACCTGGGACCACAGGCACGCACCACCACGCCCGGCAAGATTTCTCATATTCCCTTGCCAGCACAGTTTCAGACACAGCCTGACTTCTGTCAATCAGATACACTGGTGAGAGACTTGGAAGCCAGAGGGAGATGGCAGCCACCATTGGCTTTTTCCTTTGTTGCTGGTGATGGGCAGCCCCTGAAGTCAGCAGGGTCTCCAGCAGCCTCCAGCCTCCAAGCAAATGGACCCAGTGCTAAGATCCTTAGCTTTCAGAGAGGGGAGAGACACGGTCAAGGGGACTTTTGCTTGATCTCTGTTGTTCCCAATTTTTGAAATGTGAATGTGTTTGTATATTCTGTATGTACTTTGTAATAAATTTAAATTAATTTCTACTTTTTTTTTTTTTTTAAGAGAAAATCTCTGTCTGTCACCCAAGCTGGAGTTCGGTGGCGCAAGCTTGACTCACTGCAACCTCCGTGTCTCCAGGGTTCAAGCGATTTTCCTGTCTGAGCCTCCAGAGTAGCTGGGATTACAGGCGTTCACCACCACGCCCCGCTAATTTTTGTATTTTGAGTAGAGATGGGATTTCACCATATTGGTCAGGCTGGTCTCGAACCCCGCCTCAGCCTCCCAAAGTGCTGGGATTACAGGCATGAGCCACTGTGCCTGGCCAAATTTCTACCTTTTAAGGAAAAGTAGGAGGATACTTTTTTGAAACCCCTCAAAGACCTTCAGGGCGCGGTGGCTCATGCCTGCAATCCCAGCACTTTGGGAAGCCGAGGCAAGCAGATCATGAGGTCAGGAGTTTGAGAACAGCCTGGCCAACATGGTGAAACACTGTCTCTACTAAAAATACAAAAATTAGATGGGCCTGTGGCATGTGCCTGTAGTCCCAGCTACTCTGGAGGCTGAGGCAGGAGAATTGCTTGAACCCAGGAGGTGGGGGTTGCAGTGAGCCGAGATTGTGTCACTGCACTCCAGCCTGGGCAACAAAAGAGAAACTGTCTCAGAAAAAAAAAGGTTGTCAAAGACCTAAATATCTTGATATATACCTGTGAATGTATTTTTAAATCTAATTATCTGGAAAATCCTGTCTATTTTCCATTTTAGGTGTGTCGAGTAGAATCATCACTAAAATATAATTTTTAAATGTTTCCGAGTATATCAATATGAAGAATCCAGTGTCCCTCTTTAATTTCCCCATTCAGATCAATATCTATTAAAGTAACACATCTGAAATTTCTATAGTATTTAATATAATACCAAATGAGAAAAACAGAAAAGAAATATTAATATGATTTAAAAAGCACTTAATGATCTAATATGATTATCTCTTAAGCCCCAATTATAATTTATTATTATCCTTACCAAAAAGCCAACTGTCTTGAGTCATAGATAAAAGCATTGGCATTAAAAAAAAAAAAAAAAAACCCCGGCTCGGTGGCTCACGCCTGTAATCCCAGCACTTTGGGAGGCTGAGGTGGGCAGATCACCTGAGATTGGGAGTTCAAGACCAGCCTGACCAACATGAGGAAACCCCATCTTTACTAAAAATACAAAGTTAGCTGTGGTGGCACATGCCTGTAATACCAGCTACGCTGGAGGCTGAGGCAGAATTGCTGGAACCCAGGAGGCAGAGGTTGTGGTGAGCTGAGATCGCATCATTGCACACCAGCCTAAGCAACAAGAGCAAGACCCTGTCTCAGAAAAAAAAAGAAAAAGAAAGCCGGGTGTGGTGGCTCACGCCTGTAATCCAAGCACTTTGGAGGCCAAGGCTGGCGGATCACCTGAGGTCGGAGTTCAAGACCAGCCTGACCAACATGGTGAAACCCCGTCTTTAATTAAAAAAATAATAAATAAAAAAAAAGAAAAAAAAAAAAACATTTGATAGTCAACTACCTATTTGCTATTTTGAAACACCTTAGGCTGTGTACGGTGTCTTATGCCTCTAATCCCAGCACTTTGGAAGACCAGGCAGGCGGATCGCTTGAGGTTGAGAGTTCGAGACCAGCATAGACAACATGGTGAAACCCCATCTTTACAAAAATACAAAAAAAAAAAAAAATTAGCTGGGCACGGTGGCCGGCACCTGTAATCCCAGCTACTCAGGAAGCTGAGGCAGGAGAATTTCTGGAATCCTGGAGGAGGTTGCAGTGAGCCGAGACCACGCCGCTGCACTCCAGCCTGGGTGACAGAGTGAGACCCTGTCTCGTAAAAAACAACAAAAAAAATTAAAATTAAACACTAAAGACAGCTTAGTGTCCTACAAGTTTCTGTGCTATGTTCCTTCCAATGTCAAATAAAGATAAAGGAGAACTTCAAGGCACAAAAATGTGTTAATGAGAATTTGCTTCTTCCGTATCTTCCGTGGTGAGCAGGAGAGAGCCAGGCGCATCCTTACACAAAGCCACCTTGCTTCCTGCCCACTACATTATGCCAGGGTTGCTTTTACTGCATTATTGTTGTGGCTGATAACAATTTTGGTTGGTAACATTTTGGATCCTTTGTAAGCTGAAGTATTTAATGTTTTATAAGTTGATTTTTTTTTTGAGACAGAGTCTCGCTCTGTCACCCAGGCTGGAGTGCAGTGGTTCTATCTCAGCTCACTGCAACCTCTGCCTTCTGGGTTCAAGCAATTCTCCTCCCTCAGCCTCTTGAGTAGCTGGGACCACAGGCACGCAACACTACGCCTGGCTAATTTTTGTATTTTTAGTAGAGACTAAAATACACTATGTTGGCCAGGATGGTCTCAATCTCCTGACCTCATGATCCACCCACCTTGGCGTCCCAAAGTGCTTGGATTACAGGCATGAGCCACCACGCCCAGCTTATAGGTTGATTCTTGATCCTTACCTTTTTTTTTTTGTTTTGCTTTTTTTGAGATAGGACCTCATTCTGTCACCCACACCAAAGTAAGTGGTTCAGTAGTCATGGCTCACTGCCACGTCAGTCTTCTGGGCTCAAGTGATCCTTCTGCCTTCGCCTCCTGAATAGTTGGGGCTACAGGCACACTCCATCATGCCTGGCTAATTGTTTTCTTTTCTTTCAATTTTTTGTGGAGATGAGATCTCACTGTGTTGCCCAGGCTGGTCTCAAACTCCGGAGCCCAAGTGGTCTGCTTGACACAGCCTCCCAAAAAGCTGAGATTACAGGCGTGAGCCACTGTGTTTGGACTATAGGTTGATTCTAAAAGATGAAAAGTAATAAAGAGCACTTGGCCAGGCGCAGTGGCTCACACCTGTAATCCCAGCACTTTGGGAGGCTGAGGTGGGTGGATCATGAGGTCAAGAGATCGAGACCATCCTGGCCAACATGGTGAAAACCCGTCTCTACTAAAAATACAAAAATTAGCTGGGCATGGTGGCGTGCGCCTGTAGTCCCAGCTACTCAGGAGGCTGAGGCAGGAGAATTGCTTGAACCTAGGAGGCGGAGGTTGCAGTGAGCCAAGATTGTGCCACTGCACTGCAGCCTGGCGCCTGGTGACAGAGTGAGACTCTGTCTCAAAAAAAATAATAATAAAATAAATAAATAAGTAAATAGCACTTAAATGATCATGACTATGTAAATATTATTCATTGCAGAGATAAACAATGTGATGTACTTCCTGTTCTATTGTTCCAATATGACAACACTGGTAATATTCAAATAATGAATACAATGAATTCTCCCTGTTGCCGTCTACCGATTGCTCAAAATCATGACACATTTAAAAATATTAGCATCGTACCTTTTCTTACGGAGTTTTTGTTTTTCCTGAAGTTTCTAATTACATTCCTCTCATTCTTTTTTACTGCTTTGTGTAAGACTCTCTGGCATAGATGCACTATCATTTACTTCACACTGCACCATTGTTGAGGATTTACATTGTTTTCATTTTTTCCTACTATGAATAATGCTCCAGTGAATATCCTGCCCATACGTTTTTGTGTCCATACAAATTTCTGTAACATGCAAAGCTAGAGGTGGAATCACTGGTTGAAGAGAATATGCATGAAGGCAGCAAATCACACTGCAACGTGTCTACCTATGCAACAATCTTGCATGTTCTTCACATGTACCCCAAAACCTAAAATGCAATAAAAAACAATAAATAAATAAATAAAAGAACTATTGCTGGGGAAAGGATGACAAAACAAACAAACAAACAAAACAAAACTATTGCCAAACAGCCCTCAGAAAGAGTCACTGCCATCTACCTTCCTACCAACACTCTAAGGGAAGGTATAATTCTTTTTCTGAGACAGAGTCTTGCTCTGTCACCTAGGCTGGAGTGCAATGACACGATCTTGGCTCACCACAACCTCCACCTTCCAGATTCAAGCGATTCTCCTGCTTCAGCCTTTGAAGTAGCTGGGGTTACAGGCATGTGCCACCAAGCCCGGCTAATTTTTTGTATTTTTAGTACAGATGGGGTTTCACCATGTTGGCCAGGCTGGTCTCGAACTCCCAACCTCAGGTGATCCTCCTGCCTCAACCTCCCAAAGTGCTGGGATTACAGGCATGAGCCACAGAGTCGTTTTTTTTTTTTTTTTTTTTTTTTTTTTT